TTGAGACATTCGGTACGCATGTAGCGGCTCAACATGCGAGCGTCGGCAGTGAGACCTGAGATAGTAATGCCAATATGATTATCAATAGGGATGATTTTCTTCTGGTGCGCCGATAGTTCACTGGAGGCTCTTTTCAATGCGATGATCACAGCGTGCGTGCGGCTTTTTAACCCAACCGTGGCAGAACCCAGCTTTACGGCTTCCATAGCGTATTCCACTTGGTGCAGACGACCCTGAGGACTCCATACTGTTACGTCGCTGTCGTACTGATTGCGAAACATCTTGGGGTTGTTCTTTTAGTGCAGAAAGGTTTAGCCGGTGAAGTTGTTCAACGAAAACTGCACTCGAGCTGTAGAAAACCTACAAAACTGATTGTAATGCTGACAAACGCTGGATGTCAAAGATTTTGACATTATTGAGGTGTACAATTGGTTGCCTACATTAAATCCAAACAGTCAGTGAAATAGTCTGATGAGCAGAAATGGATTTAGAATTAAAATCATAAAGAAATTTTAAGAATAAAAAAAATGTTTAAAAAATAAAAACTACTAATATTGTATGTTTCAGTATCCGTTTCAAATATATATCTTTGACTGCTAGTAGAAATTATGTAAATCTATTGCGGAAACAAGTTGAAAACCGCAGAAAACTATAAAATTTAAAAAAGAGTGATTAATTAATTAAATAACTTACATTAAATAGGATACATTAAACGAGTTTAAAACTATAAAAATATATAATAACTATCATTAATTATGTCATAAAAAGAGTAAAAAACTAAAATCTAACATAGTAATATCGTAACTCAATTAAATTATGTTACAAAAAGATCAACCTGGCATTTTTGCAACTAAAATGTTGCATTTGTTATCCCATCAAATTAAATTAGTTTACATAGCCATGTTATTTTCAAGTTCAAGTTATTCTCCTTCCTTCCTACACGCGTCACAATTCGCAACTCAAGCCCGCGACTGTAAAAGCATATAAGTCGCATCCAAGACGCGCTTATCGTCAATTCGGTGTTGCAAACTTGCGTGCTGGTAATCGGTACACCAATTCATCAAGTCGCAAATTCAAAATTCGCCGTGACACTGCGACAGTTTACCGATAAACAAAATACCAGCGACTAAACGTTCGCAATCACTGTGAAATATCCTTCTAGGTATTTTCGGCTGCAAAACTATTTGCGTAATCAGCGCATTTTTTCCCGGTGCGGTTAACTAAAACAATCAAACATATTTCGTGCTGATAAAAAAGTGCAGTAGTAGTTGTCCATCAATCACGCAAAGTAGATTAGGTATACTTACAGCGGCAATCAATTTAAATTAGTTTATTGGATAAATAAAGCGTTTAAACGAACAAAGTTTATAAAAGTTGTGATTTTTTTAAGTAAAATGGAAAATATCACGGACTTTAGAGCCGACAGGAGCATGTTTTATCTTGACGAAGGTATTTATGAATCATTTTTAATGTGCCAAGGCATGAAAGGTCTAGTTTGATTAATTTAATGCCAATTATATCAAAATATAAATTTATTTTGGTATTTTTTGAGTTTTCCACCCAATTGTTTCAAAAATTGTCAAAAAAGTTCAAAATATCAAGCAGAAAATTAAGTCTAATGAATATTTTCAGATCCTAGAACCAAAAATTGGTTCCTAATCGATTCACCAGGCACAGTAGCAACACTAATAGCCGTCTATGTCGCGTTTGTTACAAAAGTGGGTCCAGCAATGATGAAAGACCACAAAGAATTTCAGCTGAAAAAATTCATGTTGTTTTACAACGCATTCCAAATCATATATTGTGCTGCCCTCGTTATATTCGTAAGTCTATAATTATATCAATTACCTATATTTTCCATATCCCATCAAGACATTCACAAAATAATGTTTCCTATCGCGCGTTGGCGATTGTGATTAATGCAAATGCCTTTCGATTCCAAATGCCTAATGCCCCCTGATGATTTATGCGATTTGGATTTGTTGTGTTGCTCATCGTTAACGTTTTTTTGTCTGTGTTCCAAGTCGTTTGTGCCGTTCATGCAATTCCGGCCAAGCTGTGCGACGCTCTCCTTCGCCGACGAAGACATCATCAACGCGCAGCTCTCGTACGCGTTCTTCCTGTTAAAGATCATCGATTTACTGGATACGGTAAGTTTTGTAGGTCTATATGTAGCCGAGTAAATAACTTTTCACCACCGGCTTTACGTTCACTTCCGTTTGCGTCGATTTACTATACAAATTTAAGCAGTGTTTCTTTTTACGCATGGAAAGCATCGGCTTATCATCGTTAATTATTACTAATCTAATCACATAGTTATTAAAATTAGATGTTGAGGTATAGTTGGATATATTAATCTTATTAAACATTCAGATTTAACCTATTTTATGGTTATGTTTACGTTCTGTTATATTTTGCTTCGATTATTGTATTAAAAATTTAAAAAAAAAGTAAAACAAAAGTAAAAACACAAAAATTATTAATATTATTGATAGAACACTGAAAAAAATTAAGCTTTTCTTTACTGCAAAAGTTTAAAAACTAAAATATTGAAGTAAAAATTAATTCAACTCAAAAACTAAAGAAGATAAAGCAAAACTTTTTGCTAATTTTGCTAGAATTGATAAAAACCATTAAATAAACTGCACAAACACGTGCAACCTATAATTATTTATATCTTATCATTAAAACATAAACAGGAAATCAGGAACAAAATTTTTTTTCACTAATACACAAAAAGATTACGTCAATGAGCTTAAAAATAACCATAATTATTCACACTAAATTTAATTCAAATAAACGAATTTTCCTCCAAACAGAGTTTCGCTTAATTAGTTTAAACAAACAAGGAAATGCAATTAACACAACCGTGTGTAGTTCAAGGTTAAATCACACAGCAATTATTTTAATTTAAATTGGCATACCTACTACAAACTAAGTTCGTTATCTCGATAAAGAAGAATTACGTATGTGTTTTCACCGTTAATTAGTGAAATAAGCACCGTGCACGTGGAAAGTATATGCGAATCGATCGAATGTTCAAATATCTACGAATATGTTTGATAACGGTTGTGCGGTTGTTTTTTGAACACACAAACAAGTATGTAGGTGCTGTTCCTAATTGCCGAGTCAACGCATCGCACAACAATATTCATTCAGTCACTGCAGTCAACTAGCATGAAACTGCAAACTGCAGACTCATTCATCTGTAGCTCGTGAGTCATTTAACTTTTAACTTTTAACTTTCACGTTCAACGCGTCATAAATTTCATTTATCTAGGTACATACTTGTAACTTGTAACTTAACCTAACTTAATCTTATTTCTTGTGTGAACAACACTGAATTTAACCTTAAAATGTCTTTAAAAATGATTAATTTCTCTTTTATTTCTTATTGTAGATTATTTTTGTACTACGAAAGAAATCCAGGCAAATTACCTTCCTCCATGTATTCCATCATGTTTACGTCGTCATCCTTGGCTACGTGCATACGAGATATTTGGCCGGTACGCAGGTGGCGCTACTGAACGTGCTCAATGGCAGCGTGCACGTGGCGATGTACTACTATTACCTGGTTACCTCACTGACCAATCAAGCGCCATGGTGGAAGAAGTACATTACGTCAATGCAACTGTTGCAATTGACTGCGTTATCATCCTGTATGGTGCCGACTATGTTTAATCGCGCATGCTCCTTCCCGAAACTCGCCGTGTTGGGATTCATGTTTCTGCCGAATCTTGTTTTGATCAGCGAGTTTGGGAGCTTTTATAAACGGTCCTATGTTGCACTCACTTCCGGGAAAACAAAAAAAGATGAGTGATTGTATGTACCTGTTGTAAAATATGTTATTTATTTAGTTTAGAAGAAATAAATAAATGGAGGTTTAGGTAGGTGTGGTTGGTGTGTCGTAAAGCAGTGTACGTAATAGTTAGAAAAATTAGTAAATAATATCAAGACAATTTAAATTATTGTAATTCTATTTTCAGAAATATGTTCAGTATTTAATTCGGATTATAAATATGTAAAAATTGTGTTGATATTTGTAATATCGAAAGATAAACTGAAATTACTCTGAAATTAATAAATTTAAAAAAAATCAATTTAAAATTATTAAATCCACAATTATTTTTGTTGTTAGGTGTAGAACTTAATTAAGAATGTATTTTTGAAGTAATTTTAATTATTGCAACAATTTCAATATAGTTATTAATTAATAACTATCACTAGCAAATCAGTTTGGCTACACTTTTCTAAACTTTCTAGTTTTTCATTTATTACTCGACAGTTAATTATCATATACCTACTACTATTTTTTTTCGAAAACCTATTCAGTAATTAATTTATAATTTTTAAAAAAAAATTTAATTTGTAATGTAATAAAACAACAAATTATTAAACAATTTATACAAATTTTGTTATTTTTACAAAATTTAACTTTAACTTTTGTTTATATCTTTTTGTAAAACTATTTGGTGATAATATTCCTCACATAATTAAACGTAGAATTTACTTAAAAATAAACTAACAAAAAATTTATTACTATAACTCAATTAGTTTCCAAGTAATAAACAAAATACTAAACAATTCAACTATAATTTTTGCATTACATAAGCATTAACACATTTTATCATTACTGATGAATTAAATATTTTATTCGTTATTCATACAAGGAATAACAATAAATAATTATGTATATAACCGCTGAACAACTCCATTTATTGAATTGTTCATGATTGCCACGTGCGTTACATACAAATCAGCCAATCAATCATCAATTAATCATTGTTTCACAACCCAATATATTCAAGTACTTAGTAATACTGGTCGCTAAGATTGAAAAGTTTTATTCATTTTTCGTAAATATACGCGCACGTTTGAATGATGTCATGAAGATGTAGCAGGCAGTGAAAAGTAGGCGTGTTTCCCTTGGAGGCGGCGCATCGCATAGAATGGCGCGACAGCGGCGGCGGCAATATCGAACGCCCCCGACCGCCGCCAGAGGGCCGCAAAGGGCGAGCGCACATCGCGAACGCCGGCATCACCAACGCATCATGCCGCCCTTATCGGAAACGCGAGCGAGCCGCCGATAACGCACATATTACACAATAATTAATTCAACTTTGTGTGTCCGTTTACGCTGTGTGTACAATATTAAATTTTGTGAGTAAAAATAAGGGATGCAAAAAAATATCATGGGTACGTACACTTTTGTTTCTTATATAAATTTACAAAGCAGCACTTAATAGATTTAAAATTTGATATAATTTATATAATTACATCAAAACAAAAATTTTAAGGGTAGTTAGAGAAGGGTGAACGGGGTGGATGTTTATGACGATGCATAAAATTGTGATTTTAAACTCGATCTGTTCCGCAAGTGCCGTCGGGGCATTAGTAGTGAGCCATTTTTGACGAATTTGCATTATGGATTATCACCCTTTAACTAGAACCACCCCACAACCCCACATAATGTATACAATTATATGGCGTACACTTGCCACCCCAAAACTTTTAATAAATGCCCGTCGGGGAATTGAAAATCGAAAGTTAAAAGTTTAATGATACGCGTTGGATTATACTAATATTAATGCGTTTAGGAACAGGCTCGAATCACCGCTAATCTGCGGATTGATCAACTGGTCACGTTTGATTGTAGTAAAAGTTTTAATTTTGGGTTGCAGGTGGAGGGTTGTCACCAATATGTGGCATGTGCTGCAGACCCATTCAGGAGCGTTTCCTTCTGCGTGTTTCTGATATTTCTTATCATGAGACTTGCCTGCAGTGTTGTGTTTGTTGCGATCGTTTGTTGCAAACCTGCTTTGTCAAGGATTCGAAACTTTACTGTCGGATAGACTACGAACGGTAAGTATTTTAAGATTTTTAAGGTATAGGCAACTATATAGGCAACTTTTTGTACATTTTTTGTTAGTACTCGGAAGTTAAACAATTTATACACATAATTTCTTTAAAAATATTCTACGGATTATATTCTGAAGCGTTTTCTGATAAATTTGTGGTTTACAACATAATTGTTATAACATTTTATGTGATTATTGTATCAACACACTTTTGGCATATTTTGATGTATAAATTAATTTGAAACTACTTTCCAAGAAATGGTTCTATATAAACAATAATAGGGCTTCACACGAGACGAAACTGGACGATACTATCAAAGGTATCGTCTCGGTCTCGGTATCGTCTCGCAAAAGCGATACGAGACCGAGACGATACGAGAAAAGTCTCGGTATCGTGTGAGGCTTTAAGTAGAACTCAGTTTTAGATCTTTGCAGTTCAAAAGTTTAGTCATTTAATTGCTAATTGCATGTATTGTAAAGTAAATCCAAAATACATACATAGTTTAAAATATTAATTTTTAATTGCATCACTTTTAATTGAAAATATATTTTTTAATGTTTCAAATTTTTAAACGTTAATGTATACTAGGGTACAATAATCGAGTTGATTTGTGTTGAAAGTAAGCGGCGCACGTCTACAATTCCTAACTTACCCAGATGTTTACAATATCTTTGCTTCAAGAAGTACAGAAAAACACAAAAATATGTCTCCGGATGTGTAAACAAAGACAAAATTTTCATAAAACTTTCAAAAAGTCAAAAAGGTCATGATATTCGGTTACTGACTTGTTATTTTGAATATACAAAAGAAATATTTCACAGATGGTCATATATTGGATTTCATATATTGGACCTTTTCCCATTTTTCTAATAACAACTTCATAAAAAAAAGTAACGAGACCAATAACGAGACCAAAAACGAGACTCGGACTGTGGTATCGGTATCGCCGAGAAATTGATAAAACACGTCTCGTCTCGGTATCGTCTCGCTTTTCCGAGACGAGACCGAGACGATACGAGAAAAGTCTCGGTATCGCGTGAAGCCCTAAACAATAACTATATAATTGAAAAAAAATTATTTGGTTCCTAGGTCAACTCCACATGTAATGCAACAAAAATTAATATTTTATCTCTTCGCGTTGACGAGTAATTAATTAAAAACTTAACTAAACGTCTAAAGACAACTCAAAACTCCGCCAGTATTAATAATAGATTTATTTTATTAACTATTGACTTTGAGTGATTAAATAATTCTGTTTGCGCGTCCTGCAGGTGCACATTTAGTGTTTTTTGTCGCTTTGTTATCGTACGATGAATGCGGTCTTGTTTGCATTGTCCGTCGCAATAGATAATGGCAATCGAACCCTCGATTGCCCATCCGAGCGTGTCATTTCCGATTTTGATAACCGCATTATTATTAATATTAGCTCCGGGGATGGCTCACCCAACAAGCATATCGTTTGCCCTGTTTAGCATCCTCATTCTGGCCGCGACGAGGGTGGCTATTGAATTTCGTGTTTAATGTTCGATGTCATTGCGCAATCGGTATAGTTCTGCCCAGGGAGGGTTGTCCCTTGCGCCGCTACAGTTTTCACGCGTTTGTTCCATTGTTTCCGCGCAGGCAACAAGAACAAAAGCAGTGGGACACGTGCAAGGACACTTGGACAAGTGCAAAAACTAGCTGCGCGAATTAATTGCTTCTCGCAACACTCGGAAAGTTGGCGGAAAGTGTGCAGAAAGTTTTGTTTGGCGCGTTGTTTGACTTGCCGTCAAGTTGAATGTAAGTGTTTCCGCTTTTCCGGGTTGCTGCGGATTGACAAGCGTATGAATTCAAATTTATTCATTTTATGTCAAACTTTGCGCCAACTTAAACAGCTCACCTTAAAATCTATTAATATTGTGTTGGAGTGTTGTTGTGAATACATGCCACGTGGCCGCACACGCGTTTAAATCAAATTAATCGCATCATGCATCAATGATCATAGAAATACTCAAAGGATAAACTTGAAACGTTTAGCGATTGAAACATCACATTTTAATGCCACGTGTCATATTTTTTGCGCGTTTCGTAAACGGAAAAACAGATACAAATCGTTCGGAGATTGAAATAATAGATAAACACGGCGATAAATTGCCGAAATCGTACGGCAATCGTATATCGATACATCTCAATACGCGGTTTAACGCCTCCTTACACGCGGCTCATATAATCCACCCTTCTGCTGTGCCCCAAAACCGGGCAACCCCCGTGAAGGTATTCGACTTGCGCTTTCCGATATATCCACGCTAGGCGCATTCATAAAACGCTTCTTATGAGAAAGACAGGCCCGGCCACCCTGCGCACGGTCGGGGGCGGTCGTATTTCGGAATATTGTGCACAGCGTTCAGCGGAGAGGGAGGCGTTCGAGCGATTCGGGTTTATGTCGCGCCGCGTTTCAGAGGATATTGCGTCTTTCGCGTCCCCCAATTCCGAAAACGCGTCTCCGAGTGTCGCCGAAAACCAACGCTTGTATTTGAGTTGATTGTACACTTGGATGTTGTTTCTGGTACACTTTGTATAAGCCGAGGCAAACAAAGTGCCGCCAATATGAAGGAAGCATATTGCTCGGGTCGCCGCTTTATTTCCGAAGGGAGGGTGCACGCGCGCGCCCCCGCCGGTTACCGCAGCAATATCCCCAGCGCGCACCCTTTCTGCCAATATGTTTCCAGCGTGGCGAAAGGTTTTTCGCAGCAATATTGTGTTTGTGCTCGTTTTGCAGATTGTACATAAAGAAATGCCTCGGCTGTTCGGAGCGCATCACGCCCGAAGAGCTGGTGATGCGCGCCAGCGACAACATCTTCCATCTGCGCTGCTTCGTTTGCGTCGTCTGCGGCATTCGCCTCCAGAAGGGCGATCTGTACGTTATCAAACAAGGACAGCTCTTCTGTCGGATTGACTACGAGAAAGAAGTCGAGATGTTGCAAGGCTACGGGCATGGTATTACATAACCACACTTGAAATCACCAAACAAACATAACCTATAAATGTGTAAACTGTTTTCAATACCCAGGTGATTTCCTATGTGATGATATGATGCAATCATCACGAAGTCACGATGGTCGACGTGGTCCAAAACGTCCACGGACAATTCTTACCACTCAACAGCGTCGGGCTTTCAAAGCTTCCTTCGAGGTCAGTCCGAAACCATGCCGTAAAGTACGTGAGACCCTCGCGAAGGATACCGGCCTCAGTGTGCGGATCGTCCAGGTATGGTTCCAGAATCAAAGGGCCAAGATGAAAAAAATACAGAAAAAAGCCCGACAGGATAATAAAACACCAAAAGACACAGACGACGAGAAGAAGGTCAACGTCAAGGAAGAAGAACAAAGTAAAATTTCACCAAACATAACCCAACTTAACCTATAACTCGTTATTCAATGTTTGACAGGTCCAACGTCCACACCATTCTTCAATGACAGCTGCAGCGATACAGAAACCACGGGTGATGTAGACCGTTTACACCATCATGCAGAAAGCAAACATTTTCTACATCAAATCAAAGAGGAGATTGAAAACGACGGAGGAGCGTTTTTCAAATGCGGCGGTGCGATGAGTCTCCATCGACAGTTTACTGGTATGCCCACAGTGGACAAACACGATGATAACTACGTGTATGATTCTGGGCAAACCGGCGGTATGTTTATGTTACCATCAATGGGTGCACATCACGGTGGGATGCAGGTTCAACATCATCACGTTGGTGTATCAGGTGGGCTGGTTGGTCCTGGTGTTGGTGGCGGTGGTGGTGGTGGTGTTCTGAACCCAATCGATCGATTATACTCCATGCAGAATTCGTATTTTTGTGCGGAAGATGAGCATATTATGGATTAGCTTACTTTGCTTTTTGTTGTATAAATAAATACCACACAGCACTTTTCGTAACTTTTGCATGCAACTGCACCGTGCTTGTTACCTACAGGGTGTAATCGAATATTTATTATCTACTTACTAGGTGTATACAGGTTTAACAGTTTAATAAAAACATGCTTACATAACCTGACTCATTTTCTTTCTAAATCTAACCTCAAATTTTGATGATTTTTATAGGTTAAATTTTGTTTACAGTAGAATACGAGTTTCTGCTCAATATGGTACCGCAAAGGTTAAGCATCTTCCACATATTAAATGTATGCGCACGTGCGATGGCGGCATTAAGGCAGCAGGACGGCAGTAAAGCCCAACTGTGACCCGTCGGCATGATTCACATGTAAATGCGAGCGCAGTGTCAAAATGAAAACTTGAACTCTCGCATTCAGCGCATCCTTTCAGCTTTCACAACTACGCATCCATGTGAATGTCAGGATTTTGTCTTAATAAATTTTTTCCAAGTTGTAACTTAAGCTCTCAAGAATTTTAATTAACACAAAATTCATTTGAGTGTCAGATGTGCTACGTCGCAGGAAAAGCAAACACATACGCAGGTGTCGCGTCAATACGCAATGCAAACACAAATAAATCTATCAAAAGATTTACGTAGTATATATTTATACAATACCTGAGTGTCGGAGTGTATTACGTGTTGTGCTATCACCCTATTGCTAATCTCACATTGTTGAAGCGCGCCGGGACGTCCGGGGAGGCGTAGATCTAATAAAAGTATTAATTTAACACCTGTGATGTTTGGTGTGTAACATGATATTATGCTTACAATTGAAATATTTGATGTTTGCCTCAGGGGTTGGAAAATTTTTACTGACGACCTCGTAACGCTTTATTATCCTTGATAAACAGGTGACGGCGCACTAAAGATGCGCGACGTTTGTGATAAAACCCGACCTTTACGTTCACTCCAACCCAACACACACACACAAACACAAGCTGAGATAAGAGAGGCGGTGAAATTTACGGGCGAAGATTAACTGGATGACTGAGAGATGACAGGTTTTATATTGCGCAGTAAAACAACGCATAACAAAGAGGAAACAAACAAAAAATTGCCTAGTGCGGTACTTACCTACGTGTATTTATGGCTGGGCATATGTGAAATTGCGAAAAACAATTTCGAGTTCATAAAATGCCGGTCGCTTTTGCAATTAGAGCTTTCGATTGTCACAACATGTTGTTCGCCGATAAGTTGTGGTCAGTAGACATGCATAGTTTTGGGTACATTGCGCAGTCTGCCATTCTATTGTTGTGTTAACCGAAATATCGAACGCATTTGTAACATAACCACAAATCGACTACTGCAAACATTTTCACAACATGCTGCTGAATTGGTTGCCTATAGCTGCAGTACTTTTTTTCGTTTCATTGTAATAAATTCTCGCAATGCTCCTTTGAAGTGATATTGCATCGAAAGCAAATAGACACAAGACGTGACTCGGACGGTCGGCGTAAGAAAAAGAATTTCCTACATTTTCCGACGTCCGTCGCTTGCGATCTATCGTTTTTCCACAGAGCGCGCGCGCCCAACAAATTTCGCTCCACGTTTGCGCACACGCTGGGGGTTGTAACTCGCGCTCGCTTCAACCCTCGTGCGTCGACTTTTAATAAAACCCGCTTGTCTGTTAGACATCTGATAGATGACTGCACCCTCTAGTCAGATATTAAATTGCTGCCGCTCCACGCTGCTCTCGGTGCTCGCTGCGGTGAAAATGGGGAAAGCTCCAAGGAAGCACAGCAGCAGCAGCACGAGCAAGTCATACAGAGTGTTGCCACAATCAACAACATGCTTTCAACAACTAGACCCGTCTTCACTATACAATCACGTTTATACTGCGTAGGCAGTACGCGCGCATCTTGTTTTTTGTTTGCTTTTTCTTTTCTAGCAACGTTTGAGCGTTATAAGTGTACACACTTCACTCTTCCACCACTTGAAAACCCTGCGATATCACCGGAGTGTGTTTGCTGTGCTTCACCATGGCTCTTGGCTCTTATCGTCGAAGCGAGACGAGCGTGTATCGCAAAACAATTTAAAAACGATTATTACTACTTCAATTCTAAAATTAGAAAATGTCTACGTCCAGAAGTCAAACGGTAGGTGTAGCGAAATATTATTTATGATCTCAAATTGAATGTCCTGGTGGCGTAGTGTCGCATTCGGGTTGTTGCGGTGTTTGCGGGCGCGATGGGCACGCGATTCGCACGCGCCTGCAGCATTAGTTGGCCATTATTCATACGCCGAAGAGCCGCGCTTCGCACGCCTTGCCTTTTGTGTCGACGTGTGCGGGTCTTTAGCGCTTAAACCCGCGTGCGCCACCCGGAGGTAGACCTCGATTGGGACACGCTGACATTTATGGACATTAAGTTTCAAACAATTCCACTCTGACCATGGATTAACTAATAGTTTTCACTGTTTCCCATTTTCACCACGCCAAGTAAAATGACAGTCAATGAATATGATTAAATAATAAAATATTGCTTTAACTAAACACTAGATATAGTGTAATTACGAATGTATATTTGATTGCTTATTATTTTAACCTTAAAACATTTTTATGAAATATATCTTAAACTTCGTCCCGTTAGTGTTTTATAAAAATGTAATTTGTTTTTACTCTCTTGTTCTTGACATAGTATGTCTCTTCTATCAATAAGATACGCAATTTTATTTTAAAGAATTTAATCTTATAAAGAATCGCTAATAATGCACTTCAACGCGCCATCTCGGATTCAACTATTTAACTATAACTATGATTGAATCTCAATGCCAACTATAGATAAGGGCTGTGTTTAGGGTTTTTCCGGCAATTATTCAAATTTTTCTCGCCGTAAAAACCATCCTTGGACTTTAACGAACATCTAAAAAAAGAATTGGTCAAATTGGCCTAAGCGTTGTTGACATATGCGCTTACCAACAGATTTTGCGATTCATATGACTTGTATAATTTTGTTTTTCAGTTTAATCATCAATTAAAAACTGAATTGATAATTAAATATTTATCTTCCGCGTTATGTCACAACTTTCAAGCATAAATTGCAAACGATGCAAGCGCTTTAGCAATCTGAATGCAATGTTTTGATGACTTCTCCTTGACCACTTATCGAACAATAGGTCATAACGATAGAAATGTGCACCGAAAAAAACATATAAGTTGAAGTTGGATTGGACTACAGCATCAGTCGTAGTCTGGTTCCTATTGATTCGTAACTAAAAACAAATAATCATGAAAATTGCTGTATTTTTGATGGTTGCATTCGTAATCATTTCAAATGTTCAAGGTAAGCATAACTAAATATTTTTTATTATAAGTTTGGTTGGATTATTTAACTGTGTTTAATTTTATTTCAAATTATAGGTGACTGTCCTGGCTATAAAGAGAAAAGGTTTTGCCCTTCAGAAACAACAGGAGTCGAGACAAAAAAAGAAACCTCTCAAACGGATAAGACCAAGATAATTGTAACAGTCACTTGCAAAAATGAGAGGGACATAGTAATCAAACAATGTACTACTACCGAAGAAAGCCCGAACTCAGATGTCACCATTCAAAGCTACCAATATTCCCAACATGTTCGTCACGTCCATAAACATGTGTCACATATAAACAATAATTATAGCAATGACGACGGCAAGTCAGACTCAGATATAGAAAGATTGAGTTTTTAAAAAGTAAAAATTTATTAAACAATTGTATGGAAATAAAGTCGACATGTTAGAAACACTGTTGCTTGAGGGTGCGAGGGTGGAAAAGCGAGATTTAATAAATACATCATCAAAAGACCGGATCAGATATAGAATGCGGATCAACATCGTGGCGCGCACGACCCCCGTGGGTGTTCGCACGTCGCACGTGGCGCTGGAGATCGCCGATCGGCATATTGGCAACATCCGCCGCGCGCGGCACGTGGCGCACGCAGGCGACTATTTACAAATTGCCCCCGGGAGGGCCCACGGTGGTCGGCCGGCGACTATTTAAGGTGATATCAATAGACGAGCAAGAAGCTTGTGCCCCGCGAACGCTTTATTAACTGCTGAGCGACGTCCCGCCGCGTGGCACAGCTTAAGCGCGCTGCCGAAAAGGCGAACGAGGCGAACCTGAGAAAATCGCCCGTGTTTATTCATGGCGGCGCGTAAACAACGTCCCCAGAGGGTAGTAGACTACTAAAGGTCGCACAACGCTTCAGTGTCAAACATTTACGTTGAAAGATTTAGACTCGTACAGATGCATAACCAACAAAGTTTTAGGTTATAAAAATAGCTGAGTGTAAATTTAAGGTTATGGTATTATTTCAGCGTAGATTCTCGTCAGTTGTGGACTTTGATATGACGTTTTTCGATGTTAATCCGCAAGTCGGGCGCGTTCAGGAAGTCGAGCCTTGCTGATCCGTCCGGACGACGGGTGGTCCTGGCTATATTAACGGCGCACGTTCCCGGCGTGCGCGCGCGGCCGATTTAATCCGGTCGGGATTACGAGACCGTGAAATATGTGTTTATATCCGACTCATCACTGCTCAAATGCATCAAAATAACCAAACAATGCTAAGTTCAATCTTGCCACATTCACATTGCAGTAAAGTAGCATTTAAATGTCTAGGCAATAGCAATAAACCAAAAATTTCGTTACAAATATCAAAAAATTACATTTTAAACTTTTGGACCTCATTTAAACACTTGTTTAATGTTTTCTTGCCAAGCAACAAGTTGATTACTAAATATAATGGTTTGTAACCCTTGATGATATTGTTTCCTCCATTGTCGGAAATGTTCGCAACTCAGCGTCGATCATTTTCCACTTTCGTGCGCATTTCCATTAACATCAACGCGCCGAATTATGAGAACACGAACGCATTGTCTTCGAATTACCTCTATTGCTGTGCGCGTCCATTGTGTCCGCCATTACTGACGGCAATTTGCACTCAATCAGTCTTATTTAAATATACGCGCGGGGTGTGCGCGAGCGGAAGCGAATTTAAGCGCCGGTCATTAAACATCTGAGGCGCGCAAAATTCCAAACACTTTAGAAAACAATACGAGACAATTGAAGACAAGACTCTGCGAGGGTACTTATTGCATAAGTCTCTGTGTGTGTGTATGTGTGTGTGTTTTCTGAACGGAATGCAATAAAATAGCCCTCATGCTTGGAATATTCTTAAAAGTGCTTCAAAAAATATTCCTCACATACCAACGGCGTTATTCAAACAATATATAGAGTGTTTATAATTTTTTTTATATTTTAAGGTTATGACTGCTAAACTAACAGTTTTATCCTTAAAATATTGAATTTTAATTTTTTTTTATTTAAAGTGAGCTAATTGCAGCCACTGAGTAGTACTTTACAAGATGCCCTTCATCCTATTGTTGATTTTTTGTTGTCCTTGGCGTTATGCGTTGTTTTGCATTGTCTGTCGGGTCGAATGGAACAACTGCTATTGCGTTTCGAGTAGCCTGCCATGCATCCACACAGCGTGATCTGTTTTCGTCGGTGCGGCGATGCGCGATCGAGAGGGCTAATCACAAACGCACCCCGCCATCCCACCCCACTCAAAAAGGAAGAGGCACGGAAGAGGTACCCACAGTGGATTATTACTGCTCCAAAAGATCTCGTGTTGTGACCCAACATTACTATCAAATCTAATACTCAACAAGGTGTGTTATTCGTGTCTCTGCATTACCACAATAAACACACCAGTACCTAATAATTGCGTAATTGAAAAATTCAAGTGTTAAACATCTGTCTGTTTACTGTGCATATAATAAAACCTCAAAAATATTTTCTAAATTTCAATAAATTTTTAGTCTAAAACTCAATTAATCAGTCCTCACTTGCACACGGTGTCTTTTTCTTTACTTTTTTTATATTTCAACATCCCTTAGTTCTACTTTCCCCTTCTCCCGGAATGAAACAAGTGCATGCAACACGTACAAATGAAAAATCCATACCAAGGGCGCAAATTATTTGTAATTTACTAAAACAGATTGAAAAATTATATCGGGTCCGGCCGTGATCCTGCTCTTTAGGGGAGAACGAAGCAAGTTTCAACCCCGATTTCATCTTTACTTTGCTGGGGTCCGCGCGCTGCGCTAATCGTAATGATGATGTTTAGGGGGTAAACAAGGTGCAGCTGCATCGCTTTAGTCACGGATGTGAGATGTGACGTTTCGACGCGGATATTATACGCGTGTCGCCCCTGGCTCCGAGGCGCGAAACAGCGACTGGCAGCGAGGTGCCGCGCCGGATTCCCGATTTGTCGCAGTTGCGAATTGTAAACATAGCATAACAGAGAATGCGCATGGGGCAAGTGCATGTCCACGACGAGGGCGAAACAATGCGTAATCACCTGTTTAGCCCGATTTACGCCCGTCACCGCTCTGAATACTTGTCTGTCATCTGTCATGCTTCATTTACCACGTGGTGGATTCATTTTGTACGAAAATCTAAACAACTCAAAACAAAGCATGTGTCTATTAAGTTGCATAACTATTAACACGCCATTTTCTTCTTACTTATTTGATTTTTCAGGTTAAATGTTTTAATTGCGCTTCAGCTGCAACGTGGGAATAGATTTCTATCGATGTACCTACATTCATAGTGGATGCTTATCATGTGTGAGCTACTTATGACGCCTTCGCAAAAGCCAAAAAATCTATTCGTAAAGGGTGCGTCGTCAAACATGGGAATATTACGTATCTTTTATGTTGTCCTGTTGTGTGTGCGCACACGATTGACTGACAGACTTTAATCCTCGCTGAGTGGCGCACGGCCTGGCGCAGCAGGTAGGATCTATCGCAAATCGCGCTTTATATCTACCGGGATGATCTTATCTGTCTATACGAATCAAGCCGGACGAGATAATATGGTCGTGCGTCGTGGATTTACTGGTAATACCTCGCTGCGTGGTAGAGTAGTGTGTAAATAAAGATATAGATACCTACATGATTTTTTTACTTTTTTTACTATTCAATATTGATATGAATTTTTAGGTTAAAAACTGGAAGTTTGATGTTAGGCAATTTTTCATACAGTTAAACTATAAAAAATATAAATTTGTTAGCATAGAAACAAAATATCAATTGATATTGATTGCAATATAGTAGTTCTAGTCCTAGTTCTAGTTTGAACGCTTGAAATGGCTCAAAGACCTCAAAGATCGACAATTTTACGATGTGATCGCATCGCGCAGAAGTCACAGATAGCAACCAAACATACTCCGCCCATGATATTGGAGCAGGCGCTTTCTACTCCACACGAAAATAGCCCTTATATTATAACCCTATACGAGTATAGCGTTCCAGCAGGTTTCAGCACCCGGAGTCGAGCGGTAGACGGCGCCAACCAGCGAAGGGTGGGGCGATCATCCCCCTTTTCGGTGGCTGATAGCGGCGCGGCCCCGGCCACCGACGTGTACGTGTCGGGCGGGCGACAGCGCTAAAAGTAAAAGAAGTGACGAGCTCGACGACGGCGCGACATCGGCGACACGAAAACTGAAAACTTTTACGCCACCCGTGAGACACCCGCCGCTGTTTTCGTGTGTTGAAGTTCGAAAGTCAAGAAATCAAGACGTGAGAAACCGAATTGAGAATTAATCGAAGTTGGTTATAATGAAATCAGTGCATTAGCGCAAAAATAAGTGAATATAAGTGTTTTATTGTGAGTGACTTAAGACCGGAACAAAATGTTGGAGTTTTTTCCAAATCTACAGTTGAATCATGTCATGATTCCCGATAACAATCAAAACGAATGCAATGGACGAACAGGTACAGAGAAATTCTCTTTTTTTAGCCTTAATTGGTTGAAATCTTTTTAAAAATCGGTACGCGTCAATGGACACTCAATGGTCTGTGAGCAAGCCTCTAATGATAGCGTGAATTATTCCGTAGAAGGCAGTAATTATGCGCAAGGGTGAAAACGTGAAAACGTTTTCCTTGTTACCAAACATCAACGTCCATTATAGCTATTATAATACTTTTAACCTGAACAAACCGAACAAACTGAGAGTTATCCGACGGACTACTGATTATAAAATCACACTGATTGTTTTTGCGTGTTTGATTTGTTTCTATGTTTTCTTTTCTTTGTTATTTATAGATGGAACACTTATAAAATGCGAGAAGACGTATGAGATGTGCGAAGGCTGCGGGCAGAAAATTCACGACCGATATTTGATGCGAGTTGGAGATGCAAGCTGGCACGAACATTGTTTATCTTGCAGTATTTGCGGCGTCCTTCTGAATCACTCCTGCTACACGAGGAATACAAAATTATATTGTAAATCGGATTACGATAGGTAAGCCCCAAGACTATAATATGTGTAACCAAATAGTATGAACGCGTTTAAATTATTGCACTGTCAAAAAGTTGAATAAATTTTTGTTTGTGTTAGTTACAAACTTTTATTTTGTATTTTCAATAAGAATGGCACTTTAGGGCCATGCCGGAATGAATTAGTACTTAGCTCTAACTATACTTGAATTTCTAAAAAAAGTGATTAATGAAAAAATGATAATATTTATTCTGTTATTCGGAGCGGAAACAAATCTAATATTATGAAAATTTGTCCAGTGGTTATTGAGTTATAAAAGTCCTAACTAACAAGACTACTATTTACCTACCTACCTAGATTTAAAATAATTATATTATGCTCACTAAAAGTTTAAAATTTAAGAACTGAGTGATAAATTGCCATTATTAAAATGTCTTAATTTCTTTACTAAATTAATA